CACTGAGGATGTGCCCGCAACCAAGGTACATGCCCTTGACTGGAATTGAACCCGGGACACTTGAGTCCGCAGGCTGACGCTCTATCCACTGATCCAAACTGGTCAGGGCTTGGGCCTTTATATCTTTACTGATTTATGTCTACTTGGATCAGTTCTTGTGAGAACAGTGTTTAAATCTCTGACCAAAACTTGAACTTTTACCAGTCTTTGTTTTAGGTAATTGGAAGCTTTCTTATTATTAAGTGCGTAAATATTTAGATATTTATGTCCTTTTGGCAAATTGACCTCTTTATCATTATGAAGTGACCCTTTTCATCTCTGTTAATATTCTTTGCTCTGAAAACTACTTTGTCTGATATTACTATAGACATAGTAGCTTTCTTTTGATCAATATTACCATGATATAGCTCTTTTTTCATCCTTTGGCTTTTAACGTGTGTCATATATTGAAAATGTATTTTTTATAGACAGCATATAGTTGAGTCTTGTTTTCTTATGCAATCTAGTCATCTATTTTTAATTAGTGTGTTTAGACCGCTTACATTTAATGTATCCGGAAGGGTCAGAAGAGGCCTCCACAGGATGTGCTGCTTTGGCCTGTGAATTATCTTGAACTGAAGGCAACCGAGACTCTGCAGGTTCATGAGAAACTTTTACCTCTCCTTAAAGAATTTAAGTCGGAGGCCTTTCCCATAGTAACTTTTTATGACCTAGCTCTGGGGCAGGGCAAACATCTAGCTACTGAACATTTGCCTGTCTTATCTGCCTGGGAATGACCTTCCTCTCTTCGAATCCCAAGGCATCTTACCTCATCCTTACCCCAGATTGACGTATAGACCTCATTTTAACTTCCTGTCTCTGAACCTGTCACACATGTGGGTGTCTGATTCTCATGTATGTTCCCATATGTACATATGAAATGAAATTTGTTTATTTTCTCTTGTTAATCTGTCTTACATCAATTTGATTATTCGATCAGCTGAAAAAAAGGAAAATGTTTTCCCCTCGTGCATAGCTTAGCATGTAGAATAGCAAATAATACTACGCTAACATTTGAAAAAAAAGCAACACCATAATTCTCTCAGTCTTTTGTTTTCCTCCTTTAACATTTACTAGTTTCAGGTTGGCCAGCATCTATGCTCATTTACTGTTGTTCTGTGAAGTTACTGCTGTTTTACTCTTGAAGATAAGGGAATGTTCGTATGAAAAAAAGCTACTCAGTTTGCAATTTTATATACATCTCCCTCTATGTAAAAAGATCCATGACGTAGATAATAGCATTTGAACTTCAATACCCATATCTATGAATAATATTGGATTATTTACCAGATGCAATAACCCTTGAAAAGGCGCAAAGAGTAGTGTCACTTGTTTAGAGAACAGAAACTCAATTCTTAAAATACCCAACCACATTAGTGCTTCTTTAACATAAGTTTCTTCTTTTTTGTTGTTAATCCTCATCCGATTTTTTTTTCCGATTGATTTTTAAAGAGTGGAGGGGAGAGAAGAGGGGGAGAGAGAGAAACATTAATTAGAGAGAGACACATCGACTGATTGCCTCCCACACATGCCCCTATCTGGGGGCCAAAAATCGAGCCCACAGTCGAGGTGTGTGCCCTTGACCAGGAATTGAACCCAAGACCCTCCTGTCTGAGGGTCGACGCTCAAACCACTGAGCAAGACTGGCCAAGGCATTCATTGCTTCTTTAAAAAAAATCTCAGAAACTTCCACCTTATAAAGCTTTCATTGCTTATTTTTAAGAAGTGATGCCTCTTTATATCTAAAGAAAAGGCAAAAAAAGAAAAGAAAAGGCTGAATGCAATTCGTGCTGTTTTCTTTTGAAAAGTTTTAAAATATAAATCGAAATCGACTGCTGATGTAGGAAGTGCCAACTCTCTTTAGTTAGAAATAGATGCCAGCAAAGGAATCTTAAAAACTTCTATGAAATGTCAACAAGCTTCTGCAAGTACTTCCCTGCTGTGGGTTCCTGCACATTTCTGTCCTATCCCAGGAGAAGCCCTTTGCTCTATTAACAGAAGCCCCACCTGGTAGGGGGTGTGTTTCTGTTTTGCTTTCCGTTCCTGAATGAGTCATAATGAGATACTGCTCATTGTGTCTAACTGCTTAATATAGCTCAAGTCAGAGATCTTCAGCCCGTCCCCACAGCGGCACACAGTGGCCTTTCATCCGTCCCCTCTCGGGAAGGTAGCCAATAACCAGAAATGAAATACAGCAGGACCAGGTTGCACACTTTTAGGAAACAGCAGTCTTTACCATGGGTGAAAGGAGAGAACCCTAGAAGTGATCATGCCCAACTTATGGCAACATGGTCACTAAGAAGATGCAGAGCCCTAGCTGGTTTGCTCAGTGGATAGAGCGTCGGCCTGCAGACCAAAGGGTCCTGGGTTCGATTTCGGTCAAGGGCATGTACCTTGGTTGCAGGCTCCTCCCTGGCCTGGGCCTTGGTTGGAGCTCATGCAGGAGGCAACCAATCGATGTGTCTCTCTCACATCAATGTTTCTCTCTGTCTTTCCCTCTCTCTTCCACTCTCTCTCAAAATCAATGGAAAAATATTCTCGGGTGAGGATTACCAAAACAACAACAACAAGGGAGGTGCAGGGTAGATGCTGGAATTCTGTTCCACGGTTATCTCTTTTTGTTTGTATTTTTGATCTTTCCCTCTTTATGAGGCAGTTCCTTTCCTCTGTGCTGCCAGTTATGCACCAGTGTTCCTTAACAAAGTGACAATATTTAATGAAAACCCCACTGACCTGCTTAGTTTGGTGTAGCCCAAGGTCTTGCATCTTCTGTTTTGGACGACTGCTCCTCTGCATAGCTGTCCTGTCTCCCCTCGCCCCAGTGTTAGTACATGCAGACCCAGGGAGGATCCCAGGACTGGAAATATACTCCGTAAGTGGAGGGCAGGGAAAGACGAATGAAAGAGGCTGGCCACTCCAGTCTGGGAATTAATAGAGTTAATTATAGAAGTGAAACTTCTATACAAGGCATGCTGGATGGTTCGAAGGTGAAGTGGGTCCCTGTGCTGCTTGGTAGGTGCCCAAGAATTATATACAGGGGGAAAGAGGGAACAGTTGCAGGCACTAGCATGTGAATGCTACCAGACACAGGAAATTACACGCTTGACCAGATCGAGGCATCAGCCTCTTCCAGGAGCCGGGGAGGGATGCTGATTAATGTCAGAATGAACATTGATTATGAGCAGATAGTCCTGAAGGGCGGCTTTGCAGTCAAGCAATCTCTTTTCTGGCCGGGTCCAGCTTGTGGGTCCAGCAGCGGTCACGCCATGGAACAATCTCTCCTTCACAGCTTTTCAAACTTACTGTGGTGAAGAAGCAGGGATTTGATGCATTAAAATTTTTTTTCCATTACATCGTGTATTGATATTTTTATAAAATAGAAGAAAATGACATGAAAAAGACATACAAAATATAAACCACATTTTACTATGGTTAGATTCAGTTGTCAAGATAGCTAGAAAAATTTCTAGACTCTTAGTCTCAATTCTGTACTTCTTTCTTGGTGGGCCAGTTCCGGGGCCACACATGAAAACAAAGCCTGGCGGAGACTCCGATTGGTTGCTGGTCCATTGATAGGCTCCCTGAGACCAATCAGGCACAAGGGAGGAATGATCACATGGTATGAACACGCCCCTTCGGCAGAGTCTTTGGTTGGGGGCACTTTCCAGAGGATGGGGCATGAGATATAGGAGCACAAAGCTTTGCTGTTTGCCTGGCTGCCCTGTGAATGCAGCACCTCAGCAACTTAATTTGGTCAGACTGCTGAGTGCCCCACCTGCTCATATGCTGGGAATTGAAGGCCGAGAGCCATGTCCTGTAGGCCAAGCATGTCAAACTCAAAGGCTAACACGGGCCAAATAAACGAGGCAGGCGGCCCGCGAGTTTGACATGCTTGCTGTAGCGTAAGGGTTCCATAACACAGAACAGGATCTTCACAGAAAATACAAAATACTCATTTATTGGATGCAAAGATGAACAAGGTAAGCTCTCTGCCCTCAAGAGCTCACAGTGGTTAGAGCTTTTCTATAGACTAATTTACTTTTCTATCTACTCCCATGAGAAAAATGCTGTTTCTATTTCCTAGTCCCAAACCCTGCCGAAAAATTAAATTCTTTATAGGCAATGTATTACACGTTCAGCCCATCAAAAATCTCTGAATTCCTCCCACAAGTAATTTATCTTTGCATGTATATGACCAGTTTCCTTGTGTGGGGAGTTGCTGTGAGGGCTGAATTATAAACCCCGGCATTCCCAGTGCCCAACTCAATAGCATGTCTGACTGTATTCAACCTTTTTTTATACTGTGGGCGGCGGTTGGGTTGATGATGAAAAAGCAGCAGGGGGAGGACTTGGGGTCAACAAGCTCCTAGGTAGTTGCCAGTCTGTAAAGTGGATTAGTAATGCCTACCTCACAGAACTGTACGGAGAGACAAAAGTAAAAGCCTCCGGCACAACACCCAGATGCTCACTGTGTGTGTAAAGCTGCTTAAAAAGTCAAAACACGGAATCGTTAGGGGCTGCTTAGATAATGAGAGCCTCCCTTGGGAACTTCAGTGGGGAGCACAGCCAAGCATAATTCATGTTTAAAATTACTGAGTAAGAAAAGGTGCATTATGCCTGGCATCATTCAAAAAATAAAGCAGGAAAGTGAGCAGTGATTTTTATTTCAAAAAATTTGTGAAAATGGACTTCTGGGTAAAGATGACAGCCTGAAGCTGGACCACAGAATCCCCTTCCTCTAATGCCTAATGAATGAATTTAAAAAATTATATGCAGTGAAATCCAGATCGAAGCTGATAAAACCGTAACCATTTATAAAAATTCAAATGGAAGGAAATGCAATGTTTTGCTAGGTCTAGTAAGATGTCTCCCCCTCCCCTCCCAACAACCCATCATATGACCCTGTAATCAGTTGTTGCCAACCACTATTTAAAAATTAGATGACAGAAGGCTGTCTCTTCTGGGAGGAGTTGTTTTGTCCTCATGCCCCTGCTTTCCTGCCATCAGCTGCTCTCTGGCTCACTGCAGCCTCCCACACTCTTGCCCTGGTCAGCTGCCTTGTTCTCTGAGCATTTGAGTTTGCAACCCTGAGGTGGACATGAACTCCAAGTTTATAAAGAAAATTGAGGCTCAGGCAGAACAGGTAACTCGCTCAATGTTAACTAGTGACAGAGGCTGGGTTTTTAACCTGGATATTTCAATAAATTCTATACTCTTTCCACTGTACCGACTGAAAATGAGATGAATGCACCTCATTTATGTTTCTCCTGTGTGTCACTCAGTGCCTCTAGGCTACAGGAGCCATACAAAATAAATTATATATGTTTTCATCCAAAAGAATCTGACCCAGAATTTGCCACATATCATGTTTGTCCAAGGACCATCTTCTGTGAAACTAACTCAAAGCCACTTATTTTCTCGTTGTGTCAAAAAACATAGGATCATATTTTTTTAAAAAGTTTTTATTTATTTTAGAGAGGAGGGGAGAGGGAGAGAAAGATCGATGGGTTGGCCTTCTGCCCTTCCCCTACTGGCAACCCGGGCATTCAACTGGCAACTTCTTGCATGGGACAACGCTCACCCAACTGAACCACACAGGCCAGGGCGGGGTCATACTTTTTACTAGTAAGTGTTGCATTTTTAATTGTATTAAAAAACAGACATCTTCAACATTTCAAATGCTTTAATTCACATTTCTGTCTGTAGGCAATGACCACAATACAGACCCAACACAACAAAGGCAATTAACACAGGGTAATTAAGTGGTAGGTGCACAGCATGGGGCCAGGGGCGAGAAAGTGCAAGAGGCCAGCTGGCTGCTGACGTGGAGCCTCACAAGCGTCCTCAGTCCTGAGGAGTCAGAGATCTGATTCAGTCAGTTCTCCTGCAAGAGTGATCAGGCGAAGGGCCCAGGCTGCTCTAACTGTGCACAGAACAGAATTACACATGACTGCCCATTTGCCTGCAGGAGATCCAAGTAAAGAGAAAGAGCCAGAGCTGGAGAAATGAGAGCAAAAGTCCTTATGAGTCATTGTCATCCACTGCACAAAGGCCTTTTCTTACTCCAGGCATTTCCTCCCAATCTCATCTGACCTGGATGCCAGCTTGCCTGGACAATGCTAGAGGAGCAAGAAAAGCAACCTAACTACTATGTTTTCTTTTCAAATTTCTAAATTTTTAAAAGAAACCTACCTACATTTCACTGTCCACAATTAGGCAGAATTAAAAAAAAAGTGAATATAAAGTGCTGGTTCTTGATTCAATGTTATCATTTCAAGGGAAAACCACCCAAAACTGTCACCCATTCTATTGAGCTTTTCAGCTGAACAATGCAGATTATGTATTCGGATCCACAGGAATCTGTAAATTAATATAACCTTCAAAGTTTAGTTGTTGCCAATTTAAAATTCCATAATGTACGTTAAATACAATTTTGCTTTATATTACAAATGCAAACTATCTTTGCTTCCACATGCTGGTCGTATTCATTTTTACAGTGCAAAAAGGACTTTACAATTTCTGAGTCACAGTATATTTTACAACTCTAAGTAGGCAAACACATTTCAAAAAGCAAATACTATACATGTTTCTGACACACCTTAAAAAATAAAAATAAATACTTTTGACTATAAACTTTTTATAAACATAGTGACATTAAGGTTCACAGCTAATGGTTGCAGAAGCCTAAAACGCACTTAAGGTCGTGTACTCTTCCCATTAGACAACCTGTACTTTAAAACACAAGTCAGTCTGGTTTCTATTAAACGTAACCAAGCATGGGAATGATCACCATTTACTTACATAAGGGATCCATTAGAGCTGCCAGGTATTCAGTGTTTAAGCCACTAAGTCTACCAGGAGTTAGGAATGTGTGAGGACAATAAAAGATGAGAGAAGTAAAGACAGACATGGAGATATGCTTTACTTCGTATATTTCTTCCTGAGAAGATAGAAGCTATTAAAAAAAAAAAAAAAAGCAAGCCCAGCCAGTTGCTCAGTGGTTGAGCATCAACCTATGAAGCGGGAGGTCACGGTTCGATTCCCGGTTGGGGCACATGCCTGGATTGCAGGCTTGATCCCCAGTGTGGCGTGTGCAGGAGGCAGCCAGTCAATGATTCTCTCTCATCATTGATGTTTCTCTCTCTCTCCCACTCTCCCTTCCTCTCTGGAAAAAAGAAAATCAAGACAATTCCAAATGAAACAGGAAACTCTTGGGGCAGATTATCTTTTGCAATGTGTAGAATCCCCGGTAACGTAAACAATCGCTACCCTAATATATAATTTGTAAACATGAGTTTTGTAAATTGTAGATTATTTAAAACAAGACACATGCCTATATATGTATTTGAAAGTGAATTTAACAGTATACAGGGGTGGACAAAAGTAGGTTTACATTAGTTTATATGGAAAAATAATACAATAATTAATAAGTACAAGAATAAAGTGTTTTGCCAACTCACACCTGTAAGCTTACTTTACTTTTGCACAGCCATATTTGTAAAGGTGATAATGTGTAACAATTCTGACCATGAATTAAAGAATGAAACTCATTATACTCAAAACATCATCTCCCATCACTATATGGGTGCATGAATAAGGTGAGACCAGATCTGCTCACAGAAATCTCTCAATACTGGACTTTAACATTTCCTGATGAGATTTGGGAGGTAATTTAAGCAGAATGAAAGTACTTTATATAATGTACTAAGCACTGTCATCAGCAGTAGGTTGTTCCTGGGCCTTACCTTTAGTGACTGAAAGTTAAGTTTACAGTAATTCATGGATGACAGAGTCATAATAGATCCTTAAGGAGAGCTGATGTTGTTTTGGGGGACACATTTTAATCTTTCAGAGATTAATGTTATGCAAGAGCAATAAGACAGGGCATTTGGTAGAGAAACACCAGGCTGGAGGCCCAGTGGGTCGGCTGAACCCCGGAAGGAGGGAGCAGGTTGGTTAACAACAGAAAAGCACTCCTAATGGACAACCATGGGACTAGCCCTTCAGTAAGGTTTTGGCAATTGAGGGTCAAATAAAACAGTGAAACAAAACATTCAATTATCTAAGAGTAGTTTGTCAGTGCTTTCACCACCCCCTTTTAAATTGAGGAGTATTTCTGAAGAATGAGAATATCTGTCACGGGAATTAAATTATGGGTTTTAGTTACTTAGTCAATAGGCCACATTTCTGATTGTGACTAGAATTTATGTGATCAATAAACTTATTAAATAAAGCTATATACTACAAACACTAGACACAGGTTACCACAATAAAGAAAATAAATAAGTAAAAAAAATACATCTCTCTCTTAAAAATAAATACGATAGAAACCTATTTAGCAGAGGATAATATCATTGCCCCAAGGGGAAATTCTGTTAAGTACTTTGGCTATAAAAGACTACTGTAAGAAGACCACTTATTACTCATTATTGAACTGTTTTTGAGAAATTAATGACTAGTAAATTTTCTTTACTACACTTTTCTTGAATTGATTACATTGTTTTTTAATAAAAAGAGAAGTGAGTGGGTGAACTGTCCAGCCTGGAGCCCATAACTTTCAATCAAAAGTATTATGTTAATTTTCACCAATTCGCCTGTGTGGCTCTCTCTTGGCTGCCTTGGGTTCTAGCAAGATGCTGAATTTCAGGAGCTCAACATGGTCATTACTGGGGTTAACCAAACATTTGGGGGTCTGAGAGTATTCCTAAAGTAAAAACCGTAACAAAAATTTCTAGTATAGTCTTTCCTTTACATTTCTCTTTTTAGGGTTTCCTGGAAATAAACACAATGGACCCACTAGATGCTGGGCTGTAGGAACTCTTAGGAGGCACACGCTGCAGCTTAACCACACTGGCTGGAAACCAACCATTCCCTTTCAAAAAAGCAAGTTAATTTTGAAAATGTTATGGTGTCACCACATTAAAAATTAAGATGGAAGTGATTTTCCCACCCACATCTTGTTGGATGTATACTATGTCCATCAAACGTGTGGTTCAAGAATAAAGAAGGATGCCCTTCAGTGAGCCTCACTCTCAAGCATAAAGCCACGAAACAGACACTTCACCTTCATGTACAGTTCTGAGACATTTTAAATGAGGACCATATGACCAAACTGTTTGCTAAAAACAAAACCAAAAAACTGGCATTAGTAAACAACTGGAAGTTTGGCTGTTTTTGGAATGATATTTACAGAAATGTGTACTCATACTACTGGTGAAATGAAGACTAAATAGTTGATAGGGAATTTCTACTTTTGGATGAATATGCATTTACTTGTTTGTGAGCATTCTATTGTAAGTTTTAATTTCCTCATCCGGCTACTCAGTATCCTTGATATCCTCTTGATCTGAGTTACTAGAGATGTCATCATCCGTTTGTTCTCCGGAGAAATACAGCATCAGGGCATGTGTCTTGTGAGTGATGGTAACAGTGCAGGGCCCTTGGGCCCAGGGCTCCCCATCCACCTGCATTGGCATCATCGAGCACTTCAAAATCAGCTGGTATTAGGGAAAAAGAATTAGAAAAGTCAGTCCCCAAAAAGCTCAGAAAGGTCTTCCTTAAAACATCATCCATAGTCCTTAAACCTCCTTAGCATTTCAGTCTGAGAAAATCAATCTGGATATATTTTTCTTCCTTGCTTGTTTAAAGGATTCTTTCCCAATGAACACTTTATTTCTTCAACTGGACTGACGGCCCTATTTGCTGTTTCTTCCCCATCCCACTCAAGCCCCTCATGGAGGCTGATCGACCGCATAGGAGTAAGCACTGCGTAAGGAAAGCGACAGATCAAGGGCTTAGAAATGGACGGACCGACTAGCCTGTTAGTGCAAGTCCACCTACCCGCACTGTGTGTGCCTGTCCTATTCGAAAAGGGTTTGCCAATTTCACTTGAATCTGAGCACAGTGGAAAGACCCATATACTCCAACGACTTCCAGTAAACCATCGTCATGCCTAAAATTAGAAAAAGGAAATGTGGATTATATGATGCAATAAAATAAAATCAGCCATGTTAGGACAGTTATTTTTTTTAACATAGGTGGACCATCAACTTATTAAATATTTACATTAATGAGGTATACAAGAAAGAAAATCTGAGGAAAAAATGTCTATGAAGAACAGACTGCTTAAAAGCGAACACAGTGACATAAAATAGCAGATCGCAAATGTACATACCTGGCTAGGGGGTAAGTCTCATCTCCCATCCCTTCCCATAGTCTGCAGCCACCGCCCCAGTATCCAATGTTCAGAACAATAATACCTTCCAAATTAGGCAGTTCCACTCGCTCACCATCCAGTTCTAGCTTTAAAGAAATCCAAGCAGCTAGTTACTACAGGGCACATGATTTGCAGACATATCCACTTAGAATTCACGTCCACTTTCACATACATGAGATGTGAGAGATGCATGTGTAAGAGAAGACTACTTCCTCACTCATGGTAATCTGGCCTCTCACATCTGTGCTATGTTTATTATAATAAACGAATGATAACAAATGGATTTTCCCCACAAGGTCATCAATCACATCCTTTTTGGTAAATCCCATTCTTTTACTGTATTGCAATGTGGTCTGAATGTCTTTCTTCTCTCTAGACCAGCGGTCACCAACCTTTCGGACCTCACGGACCACCAGTGGTCCGCAGACTACTGGTTGGCGACGGCTCCTCTAGACTATAAGTTAGTGACAACAGGGGTTCATCGCTGTATCCCCAGTACCTAGGACAGTGCATTTTGTAGGCGGCTCACTAATATTTTTGTATAAATAAAGGATCAGACAAAAAAATAAAGTGCTACCTCCCATGCTTCATTCTACCAACGCTATCACAGCCTAACACAAAGGAAATATGATAAAGCAGAAGGAAGCTTTTTCATGGGCAATCTTGCCATTCCTCTGTGCTGTGGCTGCAAAGGCTGTGAGCTCTTCCCTTTTTACGGATTTTACTAGTTGTAGGTTTCTCTGTATTAATGGCTTTGTCAGTGCTATTAACAATTACAAATTCTTTTTGGAAGCAAGCAAGGAATATATACAAGTCTTTGCCATATTATGATGTCAGGGATATTGTAGCAGTAAGCAATCGTTAATATCCTATTTTTACTGCTCATATTTTTTATTTTGTAAGAGAGATGCATGTGGTAATATGAATTAAAATTTGGGTCAAACCTCCCCCTAGAGTCCATGATGAGTCAGGCACTGTGTTAAATAATTTCACACTTGTCATCATGTATGAATGGAAATTGTTTAGCATAGAGTTAAAACAGACTCTGGAGCTATTTGGGGTCAAATCCTGATTTTACATGTGTTCTTATAATTATTTAATTTAGTGGGATAATGTGTATAAAGCAGTTAGTAAAGTGTCTGGCACACAATAAATACTTCATATATGTTAGAAATATGTCAGAAATCCAGCATTTCTGTTAAAACAATGTTCATTATCCAGAGAGCACCTAAACTTTAAAAGCTTACCTCAACTTTTTTATTCAGATCTTTACATTCTTGCACTAAACAATCTTTGGTTCCATAGAATAAGTAAACAGCCTATGGGAAATAAACAGAAAATATGATAGTAAAGCAATCTAACAAGTCCTGTAAGCAAGAAAAAGACACAGAACCAAAGCTCCCTGCCCTGAGTGCCGAGTCATGTTTCCTCAGAGTGGATTAGACTCTGTGGATTAGGCACCATTACTTTTGAGTTCAGCCTGTTTTTCAGGGGGAATATGGGATAGAGGTGGTTTGTGCCTAAATAATGTTTTCCCCCAGCTTATTAAAAAAACACACCTAAGTTTTCACCCTGGCTGGTATTGCTTAGTGGTTAGAATGTTGGCTCGTGCACCCAAGTGTCTTGGGGCTTCTTTTTTTGGGTTAATCCTCACCTGAGGGTATTTTCCCATTGATTTTTAGAGAGAGTGGGGGGTGGGGGAGGGGGTGGGGGTGGAGATACATCAGTGTGAGAGACACATCAGCTTGATGCCTCTCGCACGCTCCCTGACTGGCCTGGAAGCAAGCCGGCAAGCGAGGCACGTGCTGTTGGCCAGAATAAAATCCGAGTCCCTTCAGTCCGCAGGCCAAACTATCCCCACTGAGCCACACCAGCTAGGGCAGTGTCTTGGGTTTGATTCCTGGTCAAGGGCACATACTTGGGTTGCAGGTTGGGGCATGTGGAAGGCAACCAATCAATGTCTCTCTCACATTGATATTTCTTTCTCACTCTCCCCCTCCCTCCTTACATTTCATTTTCTCTAAAAAAATCAATGGAAAAAATATCCTTGGGTGAGTGAGGATTAACAAGAACAACAACAACAAAGCTACATTTTATAAAGAAATACATTAAAATTAAAAAATTCCACCTTTTTCTAGAATTTCAGACTACTTGAGGAAAGTAATACAGATAAATCTAGGAATATTTTATAATTGCTTTTGAATATAAAAAGGGTGCAAAGTTGATTGGAAGCACTAAAAATGTAGTTAATTACCAATGATATAAACAGCAGTGCTTACTGCCTTAATACCTACATTAGTAAAAGGAAACTATTTGTAAATCTGAAATATTTGTAAAACAGAACCAGGAACAAAATTGCTTTCATTTATTTTTCATGTCCTATTGCGCAGTCACCAACAGTCATTAAAAAACTCCAAGACCAAACTTCCACCAAAAGAATCACCTGTACTAGAAACCAGAGTGATGCTCGTGGTTAAAAGTGCTCCTTCCCTTACCTTACCTGCCTTTCCCAGTTTTTTCCAAGCCAGTGGAATCTATTTTTTTCCATTAACAACTTCACCTAAAATGTATCCTGCCTAAAATTTCTTTCCAATTATCAGTTGCGATTTAAGTAACATAAGCTATTGTATACTTGACTTAGTTGCCTTTAAGCAAAATATGCTGTAAACATTCCAACTTTAAATCAAAAAATTTTGCCATAATTATAAAATACTTTAATGAAATACACTTAAAGATATAATTTGACAGTCTTACACAAAACAGAGCAGGCCAGTGTTTCCCTAAGTTAGTTCTGTCTGAATCTATTTGAAAGGGTGCTAGATATAAGGAACTATTGATTTTTACTGTACCTTCGGTGTAAGCAGGAAATGTTATTTTATCCAACACACCTTATTAAGAATTCTGCTAGAAAACAGAGATGGTGCCTTCTCGCGATGAGCGTGAAAATTGAGAGCCATGAGAGCGTCAGGTCCAACAGAAAAGTAGTTGTTCATTGTGAATTCCTGTGGAAACGGGTAAGATTTAGCAAGAGTTTTGCTTCAGTTTAAGCCTGTGTCATGTATTCAATATGTAAATCTGTTTTTATGTTCTTTATGACAATTTAATACTTTTCTGCATTTTCCGTCCTCATAGAGCTATTTTATGCTATCCAGTGTGTTTAGAAAGAAAGCTTCAGTTCAAAGGCTGATGATTACAGATGTGAGTTTCCCTTCCCACTTCTGTTTAATATGCTACCTCTCAGATCTCATCAAGTAGAGTGACTCTACTTTGCACCTGGGCTTTCCACTCCTGTGTTCCTGTTGCGTTTGCTTCTATCAGTCTCAACCCAGACTCCCAGCACCCCCTTAGTTTATCTGACCTCCCGGCCCAGCCTGGATTCCTCAGCCTACATCTCCAGCTCTGTCTTGTTCCTGAGAATAAGCCTGAATGTCCAGCTTCTTGTTCAGTGCACCATGGCCTCAGGTTGAGAAGCTCAAAATCTAACTCATTTTCTTCCTACGCAAACCTGAAACTCTATTTTTCGTATCTTAATGTCATTTCCATGCACCCAGTCATGAAAACTAGAAATCTAGTAGTAAATACTATTTTTTCTCTCTCCCTAGTACCAGTCGGGTGCCAAGTCTTGTGAATTCTACTTCAAAATAGTCGATTTTCTGGGATTCTTCCTTGAAAATGTGGCGTTTAATTTTGAAAGACATACCAGGCCATACATAGTTCCCAACTATATTCCAAGTAGGTGAGAGGCTGAAATCTTAAAATGTTCATCTTTCACGTCCCCCAGTCTGTGGTCTGTCTTTGGATCGGCAATAACTGCCTGAACAGCTACTATGGCTTCATTAATTTGTGTCTGTGGCTCTTTGAGCTCTTCTCTGTGTAGCAATCGAATTAAGAACTGCATCTCCTGTGTCAAAACCAAGAATGTGCTTGTCTAAAGCAACAGGCAACCCTTCCTTCGTGTGATGCTTAGCAGCGGCATCCTTTGTCAGGCTCCTGGGCCAGACAAAGTTACATTAAGTTACATTAATGAGAGTTACATTAAGCATTATCAAGTAATCATCAAGACGCTGAATCTGAAGGTCAAAGTTGTTCCACCAACTGTAAAATCGGGATTGTTTACACCCTAACTGATCAATGGTTCTGCATTTTTAGCTGCATTGCTGGTATTTTTTGTATTATCAGGAACCGAGTCCCTGTGTTTTGCAGCATTCTCTCCACATTCAAGTTTAACAGCTAGCTAAACCAAGAAGCCAGCCAACTGCTTCTTGTCAGTCTTGAGTCTTGAAAGGACAGCTAACATCTGTGAGATGCTTTTCAAAGAACTTGGGTCAGTCACTGCTTTAGATGTCTCTTAAGTTACCTCTGTCTTCAGTCTTGTAGTGTCTGATTTTCTGGTCTTCGAGCCAAACAATAAAGTTTCTAAATTCTGTTTCATCTTTGCAATTGAAGCCAGCAGGGTTGTGGTAGTCGAAAGCCATTAGCTTGTGTGGGAACACGGTCCTGGCCCTCCGGACTTCGGCAGGGGAGGAGAGGTGAGGAATGGCCCATGCACGGGTGACGGTGATGCGGTGAGAGCCAGAGCATCTTTTTAAAAATACAGATCTGCTCTTGTCTGTATGATTTGCTATTTGCTAACTATGATTTGTACCCTCTGGTCTCTATTCTTCTGCCTGCAAAGTACTGATCCTTTCTCTGTTGACCTAAATTGTATTTACCTTTTAAGGATCAACTCACATGTGGCTTCCTTCCCCTGTCTGAGCTTCCAGGGCAGAACTAAGCACCTTGCGCTGCTCCCGCCCACAGAACTCTGTACAGTCCTGCCTGGGAGCTGTGCCTGACGCCCAAGCACACGGGTCTCTTCTGCTCCATAAGCAGCTCCCTACAGGGAAGCCCTCCATCCCTGTGCCCCCGCCATTGCCGCATCTCATACTGTGGAGGCTCTCCATCATGTTCGCTGAAAGTACTCCCAACTGAAGCCCTAAAAACATACCTTAGGTTGCCCGGCCAGTGTTGCTTAGTAGTTGAGCACTGACTTATGAACCAGGAGGTCATGGTTCGATTCTAGTCAGAGCACATGCCCAGTTGGGGGAGGGGTGCCGGAGGCAGCCAATGGGTGATTCTCTCTCATTATTGATGTTTCTCTCTCTCACTTCCTTTCTGAAATCAATAATAATAAAAAAAAAACACAAAAATCCACCACATACCTTGGGTTTTCTCAGGTTGTAGTATCCTTTATTTGTTACTTGAACTTTCCATCTGAAAAACAGATAAGTTTAAAAAATTCGTGATTATTTCCAAATTGACTGCCAATTAACTACAATTATAGCAATCAACTCTGAATGCCTGGGAGATGAGGTCCTTCTATTAAAATAGCATTTGAGCCCTAGCTGGTTTGGCTCAATGAATAGAGCGTTGGACTGCAGACTGGAAGGTTCCGGGTTTGATTCTGGTCAAGGGCACACACTCTGGTTGTGGGCTCGATCCCTAGTAGGGGGCATGCAGGAGGCAGCTGATCAATGATACTCTCTCATCATTGATGTTTTTATCTCTCTCTCCCTCTCCTTTCCTCTCTGAAATCAATACAAATATTAAAAAAATAAAATAGCATTTGAAAAATAAGCACACAGAACCAAGATGGCGGCATAGGTTAACGCTGGAGTTTGCTGCCTTGAACAACCACTTCAAAAGTGAAACTAAAAGACGGAACGAACACCACCCAGAACCACAGGAACGCTGGCTGAGTGGAAGTCCTACAAATAGGAGGAAAGAGAAACGCATACGGACACTCAGAGGAGGCGCAGTGCTGAAGTGAAATTCTGAGGTGCGGAGGGCGCGTTTGGCGTTTTCAATCGGGAGGGAGTTGCAGACTCTGAGCTCCAGG